CAGCACCACCATCACCACGCTCTCCTCTGCTCAGTTTCAGAAGCCTGAGTCTCGTGTGCGTCCTGATGATTAAGCATTTTACAAAGTCAAACGCAGACTCGCCTGTGTCCCCAGCTTTTAAACCAAAGATGGCAGCAATAAGGCACCTAACTCAGGCTGGCAATGCAGAGACAAATTAGCTAGTTTTGGTTTCTAAGTTTGGTTTCTAATATAATTCCTATTTTTTTAATGAAGAAAATAAACCGAAGGTCTAGAAAGGGACAAAGCTGCTGGCTTACACATTTAAAAAAAATTAGAAGTGTTTGAAGGAATGTAATTAAAGTGGTGGCATGGGAAGCCCAGGAGGTAACCCTAATATTGACAAGTGTAAGTGGATGATATTTAATGAGCACTTGCCATAAGCCTGGCCCTGTTCTAAATACTTTCCATGTATTAATTTACATAATCCTTTTAATAGACCAAATAAGTAGGTCCTATTATTTTTATTTTGCAGATGAGTCCAAGGAGGCAGGACTACTAAGTGTGAGACCATGTGCCCTTTCAACTTTGAAGGGGAATTCAAAATATAGGAATCCTGGTTTCAAGTTTGAGAACAGTGATTTTCAAGGAGCCTCCTGGAGCTAGTACCTTCACCTCCACTCCCAGCAAAACAGGGTTGCTTTTTTCCAGATACATTTTAACTTGAAGAAAGTATTATTCAACTATAAAAAAATCCTTCAAAGTCTTAGCATGCCCGCTCTAAACAATAATCTTGAAGGAGACAAGTGTCCAAAAGCCTGTGAGATTCTTCATCACAAAGTGATGGCCAGGAGTGATCCAGCGCATGAAAACATTTTGACTGGGCTTCCCGTGGTGTTTTGTAAAAATCAAGTCAGTTGCCACACTTGAAAATAGAAATCAGGAGATTTCAGTTAGTAATCTGGTCCTGGCAACACAAGGCCCACCTTTCCACAAGGCAAGGGATCAGATAACCATTGTCCACTTTGGTGTGAACTTTCCAATCCCCACTGTCTCCACATGGGGCCACTTCAGGCATAGACATTATCTGCTGACCCTGTGGGCATCTGGTGCACCTACCCAGCGCTGAAAGCTAAAGTCCTCCTTCTGAATTTAAATGCATCTCAGGTTATAGCATCATTTGTGAAAATACCCCCAGAATTTCTGAAAACTCCCTCTAGCTCAATTCTTCCATCCAATGCAGCTGGCCCTGAAACAAGTGTCCTGACCCACTTCAGACTTCAAAGGAGCTGGCAGAGTCTGCTGCTTAATAATAGTGACCTATGGGCATTCCGAGTAAGCCTACCAGGCCCAGGATGGGTCTCTACCGGTCGACAGAGAGAGAAGGGCCTCATGGCTCAACTTCCCCAAAATGTTGAGATTATTTTATAAATGATAGAAGCATTGAGAAAATCACTTTACATTTCCAGACAACACAACCCATTAAAAATAATATAGTCTGCCAGTACATTACCCCTTATTTTATTCCCCTGAGTTCATGTCTTCCAAGTAGCAAAAAGGGTCTTCATCATGTCTTCATTAAGGTTCTAAACACTATCATCTTCAGTCTCTCCATCCCCTTTCTGATTCTTCAAACCTAGATTGTATTTTTTATTTTTTCTAGTCAGGCTCTGCTTATCCATTATTTATAATTACAATTATACATATGTGCCTTCATCCAAATCTAACTTTAGTCAGCCTTGAGATGTGTGCCCAATTTGGTCCTCCTCAACCAAGAAGAGTGGGGCATGGTAGGAGGGAAAATGCCCACAATCGAGAAGAGTTGGCGGGGCCTAACTCCTTTACTGACCGGCCGTGTGACCTTACAGGGGTCCCGTCAGTCCCTGGAACGGCAGTCTCCTCATGTGTAAAGTGGAGAGAGTGTCAGTCACCTGGTCAGTTACACTCACTGAGGTAGGCCTGTGGTGAGGTAGGCCTGTGGTGGGCTAGGCCAGGCTCCAAGCACTCCTGGTTCAGGGTGAGCAAAAGCTCTAGGTCCGGAGGGGAGGGATGAGGAGGACGCCTGAGGGGCACTGAGTGGAGAGGGGGAGACCCTCTGCGAGGGGGAGTGAGGATGAGCAGACATTCCTCGGGAGAAGGCAGATGGGGACCACGTTCCATCCAAAGAGAAGCCCCTGGTGAGAAGACTCTGGGCCATGGAGCCTCCTGAGAGAGGAGAGAGGAGAGCAGGAGAGGGGCGGGTGAGGAGGGGCTGACGGCGGCCTCCCTCATCTGGGCAGCCTCCGCTCTGCCGCCCTCCTCCGGTCCTGAGGATGGGACCCCCGGAAAAGCGCCCCCTGGAGGCCTGCCATAGCACCCAGAGCAGCCATTTTTCTCCCAGCTCTGGGGCTGTGGAAGGAGTTTGTGGATGAGGAGAGGGAGCCTCCGCAAGGCTCTGGCTCCGCTCCAGGGGCCAGGGCCGTACACAAAGCCGCTCTGTGGGTGAGCTTCAAAGCGGAGCGCCGAGGAGCAGGGAGCCAGCGCCAGCAACACCTTCCCGGCGTGGGGCCGACTCCCCGCCCGGGCGTTTCTCCGAATCCTTGAGGCCCCCTTGGCTTCCGCAAACAATATGGCCCTCTTCAAGTGCCAAAGAAAATAACAAGGGGGTGGAAGCAGAGAGGGGAGGGGAGGGAAACAGGGGAACAGAGCCTTGGCGAAACCTTTCCATGAAAAGAAATCGACTGTGCCTTCCACGGCCGCACACTGATAGTCATCTAGGGCAGGGCCCGGGCAGAACCCGCAGCTGAAAAATGTCAAGGCTCATAAACATCTCTCACGGGACGCCAGGAAAGTCCAAAGGCCCCTCAGGTTTACTAAAGCCAGAAATCAGTAGATGAAAGCTCAGGCCGAACTCAGGAGTGGCCCCTTGTTCTGCCGGGAGCCCCTGCCTGCCCTGAAGAGCCCCCACAGGCCTGGTAGGCGGGCTCCAGCCAGTGGCCAGTGAGTAAGACCTGAGTTATCGGTCTCACCGGCTCCCTGGCTCTTCCTATCTGCCAGGTAGAGGCTACGACATCAGCCTCAAGCACTCTGGCACAATATTGATGCTTTAATGTGAATGAGTATAAAATTCTGAAAATTTTTAAATAAAATAAATCAACTGCCCCTCCACCCCCCTTCGGTGGTAAAAGAGATCTCTGGAAGACCTTTGAGTTTTAAGGGGAGCCTCTATCTCCTCTTTTGTGGTATAGCACAGTTACACCTACTGGATAGGATTGTTGAGAGGACCTGAGAAACTTGAGATGACAAAAACACGTAACGCCTCGGCTGGCACGCAGAGGGTGCTGAGTGAGTAGTAGCACCTGACTGGCACAGGACCCACCTCCTGCCTGGAATCATCAGCAACTGACAATGGTGCGAGTTCTACTCACCTTTAAATGCTGCAAATGGCACCACTGCCATTTGCTGTGGAGTCTAACATGTGAGGGACCCTTTCTGTCATCGTCACCTTAGCCTCTCTCTGCTCTCTGCCTTTCTTCTCAGGCTCTGGTGTTGTGTTCTCTCCAGCTCTCTCCGTGCCTCAGCCACTCTTCATGTTCCATCTCTGCTCTGTGCTGACCCTCTGAGGACCGGTAGGGCGGCGTGGGGAGAGCAATGGCTTTCCAGTTCAGGCGAGGGTTCAAATCCAGCTCTGCCACACACTGGCGTGGGTTCTTGGGAAAGTCCTCCATGACTTTCAAGTTCCTCTTCTGTGGTCTCCTGGGGGACAGGGACCAAACCTGTCCGCCATAAATCTTTAACACACAATGTGTGGCTGCACACATAGTAGATATTCAATAATAATGTTTGTAATAGCATTTAAATCCTGCAGGCTCTGTTCCAAGTACTTTTATGTATATTAAGTCATTTAATCTGCAGAACAACACTATGATATAGGTGCTATAATTATTCCAAATTTACCAGTAAGGAAACTAAAGCTTTTATTTATTGAAGGAGATGAATAAATGAATGAATGTATTCCATGGCAGATACAATAATTGTTTATGTCAAAGAGACTGACCAAGTACCTAATACCTCACCTGTTCCATACCTTATGTCCACCCCACTTTCCATTTCTCCTAAGAACAGTAGGACAGAACTGTCGAACACCAGATCTCTGCCCCTGGGCCAGGCAGAGCCACATCCCAGCCTCCCAGACAGATGGCACTCACAACTGTGTAGGCATGTACACAACTCTTCTAAAGGAGGGATGGGCTCTGATCTCAGGATAAAAATTAATCCAAACACCACCAAAAACACAACAGCAACAATACAACCAACTGTCCTGTGACCACCTTCCTCTGGAGGTGCCTACCATGGTGACCCAAGGACTGTCAGACTCTGGGCAATGTCTAATAACCCAAGGTTCTTGGCACAAGATGGCCAGTAACTGTGCAGAAAAAATAGCCAGCATTGGGCAGCTGCCCTTTAAAGCACAGGGAATCAAACCAGTTTCAAATGGTGTCTGACACACAGTAGGCATTTAGTAACTATCAAATTGGTTGGTAAGTTTCTGTGCACCATTCTACATACATTAACCCCAAACTCCATAACAGTCCTGGGTGTTGAGTATATTGTCCCCATTTTACAGATGAGGAAACTGAGACTTCAGTGCCCACAGACCTTGCCCAAGTGGAAAGTAGTAGAATCAGAATTTCAACCCAGCTTGTCAAACTGCTGAGTTTGTTTTTTTTGATATCATGTTATCTGGAATCAAATAACTGAAGGGCTGTTTTCTTTCTTTCTCCACTAAATGCCTTTTTTTAAGCATCAGCGCTAAGTCTGGTTATTTCTTGTCCCTGTCATTCCCTCTCTGATGCCAAAGTTCATCTTTGTAGGATCCAGTCCCTCTGGTTTTCTCTGCAGAATAGAAGGTGACCTGGGCACTGCAGAACACCCAGGACTGGAGGCCCTTTCAATTCATTGGCTGAGGGATGAGGTTGTCACTTAACTGATGGATCCTTCAGGGGCCCTCTCGAAGGCTGTCTTGGGACTGTTGTCCCTCACTTCTTTCTCCTTTGGTGCAGCCTGTGACTCATACTGGACATCAGTCCACCCTGAATACTGGACTAAGCGTCACGTGTGGGAGTGGCTCCAGTTCTGCTGCGATCAGTACAAGTTGGACATCAATTGCATCTCCTTCTGCCACTTCAACATCAGCGGCCTGCAGCTGTGCAGCATGACGCAGGAGGAGTTCGTCGAGGCAGCTGGCCTCTGCGGCGAGTACCTGTACTTCATCCTCCAGAACATCCGCACACAAGGTCAGTGTTCAGAGGGCCGGGCCTCCAGGGGAGGGACCAGGATTAGGACCAAACCACTTTGAGAAGTCCTTTCCCATCATGTGACTTGCACAGCAAAATTTTACTAACTGGAGTTCTTGTTAACCCAAACCTTCAATAACCGGAAGCTAGTATGCCAGAATTGGGGATCTTAGGGAAAAGGGAGCAAGTTACAAAAATTCAAGTTGAGGGCATTTAAAAAAAGAAAAAGAAAAACTAACACCATGTTCAGGGACTGCCCAGGCACAGGCTGATAATAATACAGTATCTTCATAATGATTTGAAACCACACAGGATGGACAAAAAAGAGGTTTGTGCTTCATCTCTCATTAAGCGGAAGAGGAATATAATTAAATAGACTCCCCATTTCCACAGGAGTCCAGCTAATTATCATCACATTCCTAATGGTCAAGGATCAAGTGGCCAGAAGGTGGCGCCAATAGCATTATTTAACCTTCAACTGGCCTTTCGCATGCAGAATGTCGATGGACATTTTTTCAATCCAGAAAGGTTCTTTGAGAACATCGAGCTCTAATGTTTCCAAATCACACATAGATAAAGGAACTGATATCCTGAGACATTGAGTAACTTCCTCAAGGTCACACAGCAAACAGGGCTGATTCACAGAAAGTCAGTACAAAGCGAGGACTTGGAGATCTGAAAGACCTGTGTTCCAACCCTGGCTCCAATACTCCCGAGCTATGGAACCTCTGGTGAGTGGCTTAACCTGCCGGAATCCCCACTGCCTCACCCGTCCAATGGAATAATGACACCTCCATGGGCTTTTTGAGAGGATTCAGGGAAATATTACCTAGCACAGCATATGAAGATAGAAATGCATGCAGTAAATGGCAGCTGTTTCCATCATCATTAATATAACCAAGAGGTGTATTATAGGATGTTAAAGGGAACATATCTCAGCTCAATTTTAAGAAGGACCTTTTTTAAAGTTAGCACTTTCTTTTGAAAAGGTAATTCAGAAGATACAGGAGATAGGACGATCCCACCACTGTGGATAATCAAGTAGTCTAATAGCCCCCTGCTTGAAGAGGAGGCTATGACAGCGACTCTTGTTTGGACAGAAAACCCACAGAGGACCCTCCTGCTCTGTGATTCTTTGCCCTCCTCTTGATCCTCATCCATCATGAGCGCTTGAGGGCACAACAGCTAAGAATGGTGGCCCTTGGGCACTACATGGCTTGGGCTCTGGGAGCCAAAACTCCAGTGACAATGACCTGCCAAGAGCAGCGATCTGTGTCCTGTGCTCAGAGAGGGCACTCCCTGAAAGAGGACAAGTTTGACCAAGTCACAACGGCTCCAGAAGAAGGAGCTTGGGACTCCATTTAGGATCCTCCCAAGGGAACAGGCTTACACAAAAATCCTAGGGCCACGGAGAGGGGTAATGCCAGCTTGGTCAAATGTCAAGTCAACCTCATTCATCTCCATGCCATTGCGCAGCCCCTGTGCTGGCATCTCCCACCTCAAGTACCTCTGTTCCCTGGCAATGGTCGCATCAAAAAAAAAAAAAAATCTGTTGGCCGGTCACAGTGGCTCAGGCCTGTAATCCCAATACTTTGGGAGGCTGAGGCAGGCAGATCACCTAAGGTCAGGAATTCAAGATGAGCCTGGCCAACATAGTGAAACCCCATCTCTACTAAAAATACAAAATTAGCCAGGCATAGTGGTGCGTGCCTATAATCCCAGTTACTCAGGAGGCTGAGGCATGAGAATCACTTGAACCCAGGAGGTGGAGGTTGCAGTGAGCCGAGATTGCACCATTGCACCCCAACCTGGGCAAAAAGAGCAAAATTCCGTCAGAAAAAAAAACAAACAAAACAAACAAACAAAAAAAAAACCTGTCCGTGGTTTTATTACCCCAGGGCTCTGTGCAAAACTAATAGGCTAAACCAACTGCTTTTTAATAGGCCATACATTCTCTCTTCTTATTCTAAGGAATTCCTGCAGTCACAATGCCACCTTTAATGGTAGGATTTCAAGCACTCTCTAGGCCAGGAGGGTTCCATGTTGAGCAGTAAAACTGTCTACTCCACCAATCTACTCCATTCTGAAATTCCTCTTTTAATATTTCTCAAGCAGATACGTGGATTGTAGATTGTGGAGATATGTATATTGTGATCAAAGTTCACGCTGTCCCCATTTGCCCAGGAAACATCATTTCTACCTGTGATCCTGGAGTAATTATTGTTACCATAGCACCACCTTTCATTCTCAGAAGTGTCTCCATTTGGATCATAAATTCTGCAGTGAACTGGGGGTTATTACCTCATGTTTGCCTTATAGCTCCCCATAGGTTTGGACTCTGGCAGAACAGGACACAGAACAAGGTAGTTTTGTCGAGGAGAGTAGCTGGAAGGGGGCTGTAAGGTCTGGGCATCATCTAGCACTGTAGGTATTACAGTAGGATTTAAGGGCCCAGACACCTGGGGACACTGGTTGCTGAGAGGCAAGGACAGAGGGTGGCTTCCGCAGCCTAGGAGAGGAATGAGCCCCTCTTCCGTCTCCCATCCTGTTCTCAGTTGGCCCTTTGGACAGAGTCAACTGAGGCGCCTGGCTGACCAAAACCAATGAGAACATGACACTAGGAATAAACAATCACAACTGTGCCCTGCTCCACTCTGCTTAGCAAATAGAAATTAGTCCTCATGTTAGACCAAGCTAGGACATTGGTATCCTTCAGCCTACACTGGTACGTGAAAACACAATCTGAAACTCCTTTCAACCCCAGCCCACCCCATTCCACAGAGGAGGGAACCAAGGCCCTGATGTCATCTTCCACATCCTCATTAAACTCGGCATTCACATAGACCTTTGCACTTCTCGCAACCTCTTATGTCCGTCCTCCCCACTGACCAGCACATAACAGGCATTCCAATCCCAAGGGATTAGAGGTCTTGTCAGAGACTATAGACTCTTAGCCAAAGAGGGGCTTAGTGGGTATTTTATCGCGTGGTGTCAGTGAGAAAAACCAACAAGCCCAGAGACTGAGTGACTTGGCAAGCCTGCACAGGAGTCAGTAGCCCAGCCCAGCTCAGAGCCCAGTCCTGGACCCCAGACTAGAGCTTACTCCCAAGTGCCTGCTCAGAAAATCTGCAGAGGCTGCTGGGAAGCCTGGTTCTGGGTGCTTCCTCCAAATGACCTTCAAAAATGAGGAAAATATCACCTCTCGGGGATGGCTTCAGGGTGGCACTCTAAGGCCAGATGGTCTCCAAGGTTCCCTCTAAAATGTAACCAACCTCAAGAGGGACAGTCACTCCACTTCCCTCCAATACCCCCTCTCCTGGCCTGGTCAGTGGAAACCAGGATTGCATGGTATGCTTTGTGGATTTCTTTTTCTTTCTCAGGTTACTCCTTTTTTAATGACGCTGAAGAAAGCAAGGCCACCATCAAAGACTGTAAGTAACCAAGCGCAAACCACCCAAGGCTCTGTCAAGACTGTCATTGGCACATGGGCTTGACCATTCTTTTAGGATCATACTAAAAAGTTGATGAACTGAAACAATCCCAGACCTGGAGAAGGCAGTGGGGAAAAGCGTGGTGGAAAGAGTATGACAGAAAGAGCGTGGGCATGGGTCTGTAGGACCATAGCTTGGGTCTGTGTATTGCTGATCCTCTGAAACTCCATTCCCCTATCTGTAAAATAGTGTGACCCTTGTGGGTCGTGGTGAGTTTGAGAAACGATGCACACAAAGAGCCCAGGATGCACCACCAGTGTAGATGCTCCCAAAACCAGTATCCGTTTGTCTATGTATTACTTCTAATACTATTAGAAGCCTTGTGGTTCATCATGCTTAAGAAGACTCTGAGCTCACTAAGTAGGTAGAGTTTATAATTATAAGACGATGGAGGATCTCAAATAACCTTGTTGATGCTAATGATTGACCTTCCCTGTTTCACTTTGGCCCATGAAGAAGGCTTGGGAAAGGGATCTTTGGTGCTTTCATTTTTTAAAGATGACAGTGATGATTTTTATTAGTTACTGAGTCCCTGGTCCAGAAGCCAGGAAGAGATGTGGTCCTGGGCAAACCCCATTCCCCCATGGGCTTCAGCTCAGTCATCTGCAGAGAGGGAGCAGAGCACGTGGTGATTTCCAAGGCCTCTGAAGGGTGCAAACTGGAGGAGCAGACACAGAGGGAGTATTCTTATGGTTTATGATTTTTTCCTCCTTAAAGTCCCAAACAATCAGCTGAGGACTCACGTTACTTGGATCCTAGTTAACAAAAGTTTTTGGAATTTTGTGTTTTGTTTTGGGTTTGGTGCTTTAGCACAGGAATAGCCAGTTTGTGGATCACATGCTACAGGCTTAAGCAGGTGCGCCCTGCTCCACAGACCGCAGCTGCCCTCACACAAGCAGCTCTGCATTCTGCCAGGTTTTATCACTCGGAGCCCTCAGGTGCAGCATCTCACCCACCTGTGAACAAAGCGCACACTGTTTCCTGGTGCTGGTAGAATCCCTTGTGATCCATCTGCCTGGGGGATGTAAATCCCAGCTTTTACCACCCCACCTAACGCAGGCAAAGCCCCTGGAAGAAATGAGCCTGTGAAGCCTGGGAGACATTACTATGGCCAAAGGCTTGAGCCACAGGCAGACATTTGCTTTACTCTCTAAGTAGTAGTGACCCAGACCTGACCAACCCTTTCTCCAGGGGTCAGTGTCTTCACCTACAAATGGGAATCACTTACCAGCCTGCCTTCCGCACAACAAAAGGAAGCTAATGCAATAGAAAGGGAAGGTGTGCCCAAAGTTCTTTTGAAGTAGGTGTCACCTGAATATATAACTAGCCACAGTTAGATTCAGTGTGGTGATGATTATGATGACGAGGATGAGGATGAAGATGATAGCTAACGTTTATTGAGTGCTTCCTGTGAACCAGGCCCGTGCTAAAATCTTTATAGACATTGTGTCAGGTAATCTTCCCAATATGAGACAAGTCCTAGTACTATAACCTTTTTATAGGGGTAGAAACTGAAGCTTAGAGGTTAAAGGTGACATGCTTAGAAGGCAACAGATGAGCCACGTGTGTCTAAATCTGAAGCCCTTCATGCCTTTGCTCCCCTTACCCATTTATTTCTCTCCTGTTTCCTTCATTCTTTGAACAAACATTTATTGAACACTTACTATATGCCAGACCCAGAGCTAGGCACTGTAGCTGCGGTGATGAGCACTATTTGAGTCTTGCTGTTATTGAGGCAAGGTCGGGGTAGAGATATTAAACAAATAACCCAAATTATAAATACATAACTGCTCATCATGATGATATTATAAAGCAAAAGGTCAGGGTGCTTTGTGTGTAACGGGGAAAGATTGCATTTAAACTTGGTCCAAGGACAGCTCTTTGGAGGGAGAGTTATTTGAATCAAAGCATGAGCAGAAGTTAGCCAGGAAAAGAGAGAGAAGAAAAGGTTCCAAGCAGTGAATGGCCAGTGCGGAGGCCCAGAGGCAGGAACAATCTTGGTGTCTTAAAGAAATAACCAAAGAAGGCCAGTGAGTCTAGCATTAGCTTGGCCAGTACAGTAGCCACTAGCCACATGGGGCCAGTTTAATTACTTAAGTTATATTAAAATTCAGCTCCTCAGTTGCATAGCCAAATTTCAAGTGCTCAGTAGCCACAGATGGCTGCCATCTTGAACTGCTCAGATTCTACTGAGCCGTTCAATTCTGTGATGTGGAGGCATAATAACTTGTATAACACTCAGGGCATCAGTAGTCTCAGCAGCGTTAGCAGAAGGAGGGATGGGAGCTGAGGCTGAGAGCAGGGTAGGGCCAGATCACACACCACTTTGTGGGCAGCAGAGTTAGGATTTCATTCTGAGCAAGCTGGGAAGCCACTGAAAGGTCATAAGCATGAAAGTGGTCAGATCACATTTACATTTTAAGATCTCTTGGGCTGCTATTGTCTGGGTCGGAAAGCAGTCTAGCCAGGAGGCTCCTGCCCAGAGGAGTGGGGATGACGGTGGCCCGGACCCAGCGATGGGGAAGAGGTGGGGAGAAGTTTCTAGAAATAGAAGTGGTGGGGCAAGGACTCTGGGCTAGCATCTCGGGAGCATGCACTCATGGAGACAAGCCCTCTGCTGATGGTGGGTGCCATGGGCTCTTCCCTGTCTGCTCCATTTGGGAGCCTAGAACTAGACTGAAGTGAGGGTTAAGAAGTTTCAGTCCACCTGAGAGCCAGCCCCAGAAGCTTTGCCATATTCCAACCTCCATGTCTTGGTCAGGACACCATGGCCTTCCCCTGAGACCCCTGAGGACCATCTCTGGTTCTCCCCCAACCCTGATGACAATGCTTTCCCCAAACAGAAACCCTAATCGATAGTTTGATGGGCACAAGGGGAGGTATGAAGACAACAGGTTGGTAGTTTATACAATGAGCCCATTCCGGAAAGTCCAGGACATGTGGTCACGGTGCCTATGGCTCGGGTGATGTTTCATGGTCTCAGATATTCCCTAACACAAAAATGAGAGGTTGCCTTTCAGTGCTGACGTGCCATCCAAAGGCCAAGACCTGGCCAGTGAGGACAAAGTGACATCCTGGGGCTTTCTGCAATGTTCCCATTGGGTCTTCAATGAAAATGAATAGCTCTCTTTACCATTTACTAAGCACTTACTATGTGCTAAGCATAACACTGTGCCAAGTGTTCTGCTTACGTTATCTCATTTAATCCTTGTCCTAGCTCCATTAGGGAGTGTTATTATGTCCATTTGCATCTGAGGAAACTGGAGGTGTAATAACTTGCAAGTAAGTGCAGGGCTGAGATTTCAACACATTTCCTCAAAGTCTGTGCTTTTTACATTGTGCTATGCACACTAACACATGCATACACACACACACACGCACATATGCACACATGTTCCCAGACCCTTCTGTTCACTCTGCTGCCCACTCAGTTGAGGTCCAAGGCCCAGGAACTCCTCAAGGTCTGGGCCCAGCTTGACAATAGTTCAAACAACAGGACTATTTTTAACTTAGTGCCCACTGAAGGTGCCCGGACACACAAGCTACAAAACTGTCAGAGCCGGCCAAAGCAAAACAACCCCTTCCCTCTCTGCTTGGTCTCTTCTCTCCACCTGCCCCACTCCCCACCCACCTCTACTGCAGAAATGCCAGTAGAGGGTATGCTGGGCCCAGGAACCAAGCCTACAGTCCTGGGTTCGCTGCCAAGCACCTCCCTGCTCCTGAGCCTCAGAGCTTCTCTGCACCAGCCTGGCATGGGGTGTGGGCTCCATGGCTGGACTGCAAATGTCATGGGGATATGATAAACTTGTTTTGGAAACCCTGCAACTCAGGCCCCCACCCCAGCTTCTGGAGTGCTTGCAATCAACAATTGAGGATATATCCTTTGGCCACATTTTAAAAGTGTTCAGGCTCAAGGCCAACCAAGCCTCTCCAAATCCCACAGACTGCAGAGAGCCTGGGCCATGTCTCCCCTCAATCCCCACCAGCTGCAGGGACATAGTCAAGATGACGAAAGTTGTGAGCCAGGGAGAGGTGCACCCTGAAACACAACTGGCATTTACAGAGAAATATAGTGGGTCCATGGTGGTGCTACAGATCCACCACCCAGTGCTGGTGGAGATTGATTTGGGAACCTGCCTCAATATTAACATGGCAGTAATGACTTCAGGCCCCTGCCCCTGCCCCTGCCACCACCAGCCAAGCGAGGCCTTGACTAGTCAACCAACGAGTACCTTCAAAGCCATCACTGCAGAACTAGGAACAGAGAGAACAGGGTTATCTCGGCAAGACCCACAGAAGAAACTCCCACCAGCCTCATAAACTCCTCTCATGCTGACCTGTACTGTGTTCCTCCTACCAAGCCAGATCCCCTTCCTCCAAAACACGGGAGAAATCATCAAAATCAAAAGGGCAATGTTTTTCCTCCCACCTCTTGCCATTTTGGCATTTCAACGAAAGCTTGTTGTCTATTCACACTTAATAATTCACCTTTGTTTATGACTCCATTTGTTTTCTCTTTTCCTAAAAGATTAAATCAAAACAACAGATCGATCTGGGGATAGTAATAGACACATCTCAAAAGGGTGGGGAAGGTTAAGTGAGCATCCGACAATAGCAAATGCTTAACAAATCTTAGCTAATAATGGTTCATTAAATGTCTATTGAACACCTGCTGTGAAAGACATGATAAAGTAGTAGTTATGAACATTAGCTTTGGAATGAGAACTCTCTGGTTCCACCATCTGGATAAAATTCTTAAGCTCTCTGGGCTTCCAATTCCTCCTCAATAAAATGAAAATCATGATAGTATCACACAGGGTTGTTATAAGGATGAAATGAGATACTCTATGTGAAGCCTTTAACAAGCACTTGGCATTTAATAAGTGCTCCATAAGTATCAGCTAATAGTGGAAGAGAAAAAGAGATGAATCTTTCCAGTAAGGTGGGCCCAGTATTGTGACACCAAGGAACACACAGGTGCTCTCTATAAGGCTCATAAGGGGTCTAACCCAGAGGGTCAGTTCAGAGAAGCCTTCCTGAAGAGGTCTTGTGAGAAGTCCGCTGTGTAGAAGTGGAGAGTGGGGAGTCTGTGCAAAGGTCCTGAAGCAGGAGGAAGCCACGCCCCCAATGGAACCATTTGACCCAAGGGAAGGGAAAAAGTTGGGAAGCAGAAAGAGATAAGGCCAGAGATCTAGGTGGGGGTCAGTCTGTGAAAGGCCTACTTACTGTGCAGCCTTCATCCTGGAAGAAATGGGGAGCCACTGCAGGAAGTTCAGCTGGCAAGCTGGCATGACCCAGTGGCACTGAGAGAGGTCACCCCAAGCAGCAGCGTGGGGCACAGGATGTCATTCCTGCCCTTCCTTCATTCAGCAGTGGCAGTGTACATACTAGATGATGCAGCAGGCAGTGTTGTACAGTATAATGTAGTATAGCATAGCATAGCATAGCATAGCATAGCATAGTATAGTATAGTATAGTATAACACAGTACAGTATAGTTGGTATAGTATAGTGTAGCACAGTACAGTATAGTTAGTATACTACAGCACAGTGCAGTATAGTTAGTATAGTATAGTGCAGTATAGTTAGTATAGTACAGTATAGCATAGTTAGTACAGTCTAGTTTGTATAGTACAGTATGTAGAGTAGAATGTAATATATGGTACAGCATAGTATAGTATAGTATGTACAGTATAGTATAGTTAGTACAGTACAGTATGGTATGATTGGTATAGTATGCTGCAGTATAATACAATACATTATAGTTGGTACAGTACAGTATAGTTAGTATAATACAGTACAGTATAGTTAGTATAGTATAGTGCAGTATAGTTAGTATAATACTGTAGAGCATAGCATAGTTAGTACAGTCTAGTTTGTATAGTACAGTATGTATAGTAGAATGTAATATATGGTACAGTATAGTTAGCATAGTACAGTATAATGTAGTTAGTACGGTACAGTGTAGTACAGTATGTACAGTTGAATGTAATATATGATGCAATATAGTTAGTATAGTACAGCATAGTATAGTTAGTACAGTACAGTATGGTATGATTAGTATGCTGCAGTATAATACAATATAGTACACTTGGTACGGTACAGTATAGTTAATATAATACAGAACAGTATAGTATAGCATAGTACAGTATAGTTAGTATAGTATACTACAGTATAATACAATATACTACACTTGGTACAGTACAGTTAGTATAGTATAATACAGTATAGTACAGTATACTGTGGTATAGTAAATATACTATAGTGTCATGCAATATAGTATAGTTGGTACAGTACAGTACAGTTGGTATAGTACAGTGTAGGATAGTGTAGTTAGTACAGTACAGTAATAGTATAGTTAGTATAGTGCAGTCCAGTACAGTGCAGTATGATATAGTATAGTATAGTTGGCATGGTATACTACAGTATAGTCCGTATAGCTGGTCTGGTATAGTACAGTATAATGTAGTTAGTGTAGTATAGTATAGTACAGTATAGCATAGTTAATATAGTGTGGTACAGTACAGTATAGTTGCTATAGTATGGTACAGTATAGTTAGCACAGTATGATGTGGCATAGAACAGTATAGTTAGTATAGTACGGTATGGTGTGGCATAGAACAGTATAGTTAGTATAGTACGGTATGGTGTGGCATAGAACAGTATAGTTAGTATAGTACGGTATGGTGTGGCATAGAACAGTATAGTTAATATAGTACGGTATGGTGTGGCATAGAACAGTATAGTTAGTATAGTACGGTATGGTGTGGCATAGAACAGTATAGTTAATATAGTACGGTATGGTGTGGCATAGAACAGTATAGTTAGTATAGTACGGTACGGTGTGGTATAGAACGGTATAGTTAGTATAGTACCGTATGGTGTGGTATAGTACAGTATAGTTAGTATAGTACGGTATGGTGTGGTATAGAACAGTATAGTTAGTATAGTACGGTATGATGTGGTATATAGTACAGTATAGTTAGTATAGTACAGTGTAGTGTGGTATAGAACAGTATAGTTAGTATAGTACAGTATAGTGTGGTATAGAACAGTATAGTTAGTATAATACAGTATGATGTGGTATAGAACAGTATACTCAGTATAGTATGGTGCAGTACAGTTACTGTAGAATAGCACAGTGGCTGCTCAATGATACTGAGCACCTACTATATGCCCAGCAGTGTGCTAGATACTGCAGGGTTCCGTCTGGAAACACAAATCCCTGCCCCCTCGTGTACACAGACCGTGAACTTCATGAATACATACACCATAGAATATGCTTGAATATTCCATGTAAAATGCGGAGCAGTGGGGAGAATGTGCAGACCCAACTTGATGGTCAGAGGAGGCCTCACTGGAAGGTGATTTTGAACCAGGATTGAGATGAGGGCGTGCACAAGCATCCAAGGGAAGAGTGTGCTGGACAAATGGAAGAGCAACTGCGAAGCCACTGATATGGAATGTGCCTGCACATTTCCGGAGAGCCTGAAGCCAGGGTGGCTGGGGCAAAGCAAGCAGGGGGCTAAGAGAAGCGTTGGAGACTGAGTGTGAGCTGGAGGGGCAGATCTGGTGCCACCATTTTAAAAACTCATATACTACTCTGGGACAATGCTTGTCCAGGTGTCTCAGGTTGTGACTGACAACCTAAGTTATCATTTAAGTCAGCACGGAGTTAACGTTTTGCTTTCTACCCTTCATGAGCTCTAGTCTCTTTGCTTCTACTTGTGTCTCTTCCAGTCTGTTCTCCACACGGGAGCAAGAGAGATCTTCTTAAATTGAGGATCTTTGCTCTACACTTTGATATAAATTCCCAAGTCCTTACCATGGTCTCCTAGGAAGGCCCTGCATGGGCCTCGATCAAAATCAGATTTATTTATTCTCATCAGGGTGGGTGAGATTGAATACAAGTGCTCCTCAAAGCCACATCTTAAAGCATCTTGACATCTGCCACCTACTAATCCCCCCAAAGTGCCTAATGTGGTGTCTTCTACTATAAAGACATTCAATTAGTGTTTGCTCATTTGGATATGACTTGAGGTCTGAATGTGGCCTCTGTATCCCTTTCCACTGCTATAAATTATTCTATTTCAGATGCTGATTCCAACTGCTTGAAAACAAGTGGCATCAAAAGTCAAGACGGTCACAGTCATAGTAGAACAAGTAAGTGAAGGATGCCGGTTTTCATTTCTAATTTCTTAAAACCATTCCTAAGACAAAGTCATCTACTTTAATAAGCTTTGAAACTAAACATTTGAGCTGGACCAGTTACTCCCCAGGGAAGGTAGTAAAGAAATCAATGATTGCTTTTATATGTATTATCGAAGTCAGATTGATTTCTTCTCATAAGGGTGGGTGAGATTGAGCATCTGACAATAGCAAATGGTAAACAAATCATAGCTAATAATTATCCATTAAATGTCTATTGAACACCTACTATGAAAGACATGATCATAGTTGTAAACATTAGCTTTGGAATGCAAACTCTCTGGGTTCAAGTTCTGGCTCCACCATCTGGAGCCAGGTCCAATCCTGGGTCCACTATGGCTTCTTCTCAGAGGAGGATAACAAAGAAAACACTGGGAATTGCCAATCCTATTAGCTTCCCCAGCACTAAGAGATCCGCCCAGAGCAGTGTCAAGCTTGTACTTTCACAAACGTGTGTGAAGAAAACAATTGCTATATGCTGGACGTGATTCTAACCACTTGGTATGTATTAAATCATTAAATCCTCTAACCTACCCTAGGAGACAGGTACTCTTATTATCCCATTTTATAGATAAAGTAACTCTAAGAGTTTATGGTTATAAAGGTATGAAAAGGTGAATTCAGGACCCAGACTCCAGAGCTGGTCTTAACCACCAATCATAAAATAAGAGAAAAACCAGCCTCTCATGAAAAATGAGGATCTGTCCACCCAGACAGTTGTGGCTATGGAATCAGTACAACCATGCTGCCTGTCAGAAAAACGAATGAAAAGATCATCTGATGGTCATTTCATTCATTCCATAAAAATTAAACTGTAGTTCCATAGAACATCTGAGTCATAGTGTTGCCAGTCAATGTAAATTGGGTGTCTCTGAATGTGTGTTTCACAGTTGCTTCGATGGGAGACACAGACATGTCACAGCTCAGTAAGTTTCCAGGTAGAGCAATCAGTCATAACAATGGGAAATATTCCCACAAAGCAGCAGTTCTCATGAGCTAGTGAGAAATTGTACATCTCTTCTCTTAAAATTAAAAAAACAAGCTGGGCACGGTGGCTCACGCCTGTAATCCCAGCACTTTGGAAGGCTGAGGTGGGTACATCCCCTGAGGTCAGGAGTTCAAGGCCAGCCTGGTCAACATGGCGAAACCCCATCTCTACTAAAAATACAAAAAATTAGCCAGGCGTGATGGTAGGTGCCTGTAATTCCAGCTACTTGGGAGGCTGAAGCAGGAGAATCACTTGAACCCAGGAGGTAGAGGTTGCAGTGAGCCGAGATCACGCCATTGCTTTCCAGCTTGGGTGACAGAGTGAGACTCTGTCTCAAAAAAATAATAATAATAAATTAAAAAAACAATTGTAAATAGCTAATGCTTTCCCCTTTTCAAAGGCCTCCAAAGTTCTCATCTATGGGAATTTGTACGAGACCTGCTTCTATCTCCTGAAGAAAACTGTGGCATTCTGGAATGGGAAGATAGGGAACAAGGAATTTTTCGGGTGGTTAAATCAGAAGCCCTGGCAAAGATGTGGGGACAAAGGAAGAAAAATGACAGAATGACATACGAAAAGTTGAGCAGAGCCCTGAGGTAAGTTAATAGCATAAAATACCATGAGCCTTCAAGAAGAGTTATATAAAATCGCTGGCTGTAGAAAATTACACTGTTTTCACAGGTTTTTTACTTGATAATGGAAAGATCATGAGACAAAACTTTGGTTGTTAGTTACAGGTAGGATTATGGTTTGTAACTAGACGCGCCATCCTTAGCATTCTTGGCAGTATTCCCCAGGGATCACTCTGAATCCAGGCCATCTCGCACACCCACACACACACACACAAAAAAACACGTTTTGAACTGAGAATGGTGAGTTTCAGTCTTCAAGATGTCTGTGAAAGGTTTAAGTGTAAGTTGATAACAGGGCGTGAAAATACCAGGGTAACCAAAGATCAGCCTTGTCACCTGAGAGGAATGAGGAGGCAGTGTTTGTGTTCTGTTGTTTTCCTAGGGTGCAAGCTCTCCCAGAATTTCTCTTCTGCTTGCTTTTTCAGATACTACTATAAAACAGGAATTCTGGAGCGGGTCGACCGAAGGTTAGTGTACAAATTTGGAAAAAATGCACACGGGTGGCAAGAAGATAAGCTATGATCTGCTCCAGGCATCAAGCTCATTTTATGGATTTCTGTCTTTTAAAACAATCAGATTGCAATAGACATTGGAAAGGCTTCATTTTCTTCTCTCTCTCTTCTTTTTAACCTGCAAACATGCTGATAAAATTTCTCCACATCTCAGCTTACATTTGGATTCACAGTTGTTGTCTATGGGGGGTGACAGCGACTCTTAAGAAATCCTTTCTTCTCCGTAAGGGGATGAGGGGATGATCTTTTGTGGTGCCTTGATCAAACGTTATTTTCCTAGAGTTGTGGAATGACAACAGCCCATGCCATTGGTGCTGATCAGAGAAAAACTATTCAATTCTGCCATTAGAGACACATCCGATACTCCCATCCCAAAGGTTCAAATGTGTTCAAATAACTGTGGCAGCTCACCAAAGGTGGGGGAAAGCATGATTAGTTTGCAGGTTATGGTAGGAGAGGGTGAGATATAAGACATTCATACTTCAGATTTTAAATTATTAAAGTCAAAAATCCATAGAAGACTATCCTTTTTTTTTTTTTTTTTTGAGACGGGTTCTCGCTATGTTGCCTGGGGCTGGTCTTGAACTCCTAGGCTCAAGCGATCCTCCCACCTCGGCCTCCCAAAGTACTATGATTACACGTGTGAGCCACGGCACCTGGGCAGAAAAGTATCTTAATTAGTGAAAGAGCTGAGCCATCGAACTGGGACATAATTGGATTTAAAATAAGTTCATAGTAAGTTTCTTAACCAGAGCATCTTTTTGACCACTCAGCAAAACTTCCACAGACATCTTTCTGGACTTTAACACTTAACATTAACCACATTATTAATTGTTGCTGAGTTTATTACCCCTTCTAACTGATGGCTGACATCTGATATGCAGAGTTAGTCAACAGACACTGGCATCAATTACCAAATCACTGCTGTTTCTATGATTCAAGCTGTCAACACAGTAAAATCATAATTCATTGATTCTATCTCTGGTCCAGATGTTAAACATTTATAAAACCGGAAATGTCCTAACAACTCTGTAATGGTCAATTAAATTGCGAGTCTTTGTTTTGTCTTCCTACCTGATGTGTATTCAAATGCTGAAACACATACTCCCTTGACAAAAATCGTGACAGTGAATTTACACCAATAAATGTTCATGGGTTAAAGTCTGCACTGACATTTTCTCATCAATCACTGGAATATAAGTTATTAGTGGCTTACAGCTAGGTGGACTGCCCCTAGGACTTCTATTTCACCACAGCAGGAATCAATTGGTGAGGCACTGAACTGCTGTACAGGCTGAAGACCTCCGTACTTAAAGTTGAACTTCAAAGTAACCTGTTTTAAAAAATGTGAATTACTGTAAAATAATCTGTTTTTGGATTCATGTGTTTTCCAGGTGGATATAGTTTGTAAACAATGTGAATAAAGTATTTAACGTGTTCAACTGTCTGTGTATCGTTCAATTCAGCATGGTAGGCTCAGCAAAACACTGACAACCTGTAAAACCTTTGGTGACTCTTCCATTTCCTAGCAGTTGTGGTTGGAGATTTATCTTTTATTTTTGGAGATGGGTTTTTGCTTGTTGCCCAAGCTGGCCTTGAACTCCTGGGCTCAGGTGATCCTCCCATCTCAACCTCCCAAGTACCTGGATTACTATGAACCTTTGCTACATCCACACCACACCCAGCAGGCTGGAGATTTTTAAAGAGCCCAAAAAGATGCAAGAAATATATGGGGTAATCTTACCCTCCACCTTTAATATCGTAAGACAGAGGTTCCCATCACAAAATGGAGTTCATTGGCGCGCATAGCCTACAGATGCGTTTTTGTTTGGTGCACATAGCATTGTCTGTTTTTTTGAGCTTTTCTTTTATTTCTTACTGTGACTTCATTGCCTTATTTAGAAATCGAAAGATTCACCTAAAAATCCAGATTTCTAGCTTCTCTTTTAAAATCATATCTGGCAACACTAGTTTCTCAGTCTCTTGTGGTGTTAATTTCCTGGAGCTAAATTGAAGTTGCACCTTTGCACAGAGGATTTGGTCACTTTCTACTGCCTTCTGGACATACAGGTTGTCAGCTGTCATTCAACTTTGTTCTTGCACTACTGATGGTTGTTGTTAAAGCATCCAGAATGCCTTTACATTTTGAATGTGGGACCCATGTCCTGGCCATCTGAAGAGGTAAGTACCATGTTAATGGACCAGTCAGGATTAAAGGAAAGACTGTCCAGGAGAAGAGAAATCAGCTAACAGGAGGGGAATGGGGAGTTTTCAGGCAAGAGCTTGGCAGTGACAATAAAGCACAGCCAAGCAGCTCAGAGGCATGGCGGGGACTGGGGTGGGGCAAACAGGCAGAAGTGGGCAGGACTGCAGAGAAACACACTGGCTAGGAGATGTGGATGCTTTCCCTCCCACCCCCGGGCACCAAGCAGTTCAGAGAACAAAAACATTCATCCTTCTTACTACTCAAGAAATTTTCATTTTAGGAAACCATTAAACTAGCATCCTCTTTGGATTAGCTTTCTAGGGCTGCCTGTGAAAAATTACCAAAATCGGTGGCTTAAAACAACAGAAATGTCTTCTCTCGCCGTTCTGGAGGCTACAAGTCTGAAATCAAGGAAGCCATAGGGTCTAAGAAAGAATTCTTCCAAAAAGAAAAAGAAAAGAAAAAAAAAAAAGAAAAAAGAATCCTTCCCTTCTTCTTCCTGCTTCTGGTGACTCCACGTATTTCGTGACTTGTGGCTGCAAAACTCCAATCTCTGCCTCGGTCTTCACATGACCTGCTCCTTCTTCTACCCTTTGGTCTCTTAGAAGGACACTTATTATTTGATTTAGGCCCCACCTGAGTAATCAGGATAACTTCCTCTTGATTTTTTTTTTTTTTTTTTGAGACAAAGTTTCGCTCTTGTCACCCAGGCTGGAGTGCAGTGGTGCAATCTTGGCTCACTGCATCCTCTGCCTCCCGGGTTCAAGTGATTCTCCTGCCTCAGCCTCCCAACTACCTGGAGCTCCAGGCACACACCACCATGCCCAGCTAATTTTTTTGTATTTTTTAGTAGAGATGGGGTTTCACCATGTTGGCCAGGCAGATCTTGAACTCCTGACCTCAGGTGATTCACCTGCCCAGGCCTCCCAAAGTGCTGGGATTACAAGCATGAGCCACCATGCCCAGCCTCCTCTTGATCTTAACTTATGACATTGCAAAAATCCTTTTTCCAAATGAGTCACACTCACAGATTCCAGGGATTAGAACATGGATATATCTTTTGGGGGATCACTGTCCAATTCACCACACTCTTTAAAGTAAGAGTTTTACTTAAACATATAGCTCCATAATACAATTCATTGAAGGACAGAAAATACAAGGGACTGTTTAAAATGCTACACTTAGCCTAGCACCGTGGCACACACCTGTAATCCCAGAACTTTGGGAGGCAAAGACAGGCAGATCACTTGAGCTTAAGAGTTCGAGACCAGCCTGGCCAACATGACGAAACCCCATCTCTACAAAAATTACAAAAATTGGCTGGGCATGGGGGTGTGCACGTATAGTCCCAGCTACTAGGGAGGCTGAGGCGGGAGGATAGCTTGAGCCCAGGAGGTTGAGGCTGCAGTAAGCTGTGATTGCACCACTGCACTCAAGTCTGAGTGACAGAGTGAGATGCTGTCTCAAATAAATTAATAAACACGCTGCTACACTTTGAGCAAACAATACCAAAGCAAAACAACAAAAAAATTAAAGCAATAGATAATGCAAAATTCGCTTATCAAATAGTCAAATGAGGGAATAAGTACTTCCTTTGTTAAAAGGATCTGCAATAGAGCTTTCCATAGCAAACTTTCCATAGCAAACTTTCCATATATTAATATGTGATTGTTTACCTTTTTCAGAGGTTCAAAATTATACAGAGCTGGCCAGGTGCAGTGGCTCACACCTGTAATCCCAGTACTTTGAAAGGCCAAGGCGGGCAGATCACTTGAGGTCAGGAATTCAAGGTCAGCCTGGCCAACACGGTGAAACTCTGTCACTACTAAAAATACAAAAATTAGCTGGACATGGTGGGGTGTATCTGTAATCCCAGCTACTCGGGGCCTGAGAAACAAGAATCACTTGAACTCGATTCAAGCGATTACAGAGGCGGAGGTTGCAGTGAGCCAAGATCGTGCTACTGCACTCCAACCTGGGCAGGAAAGTGAGAATCCACCTCAAAAAAAAAAAAAAAAAAAAATGTACAGAACTTTTTTAGTTGACTTCCACTAACCCTTCACATCTTTAAAAGAGCTGATTAAAAAAAAAAAAAAAAAAAAAGTTAAGGCCTTCAGCTTGACTTACCAGAGAGTTTAAAGTAGAATCTGGCCCTTTGCACTTTGGTAATGCCATCAACTAACAGGCAAAGAAATGGCCCAAGTAGCTTGCTTGTGGCTTTTCTCCCAGAAAAGTGAGCGCTAGGAAGTTCTTAAAACACTTCTTTAGCACAGATCACAAATCAGAGTGATGCCCTTTATCCAGGAAAGAAAAAATTAATGTGATTGGTTTTTTGTTTTTCGTGATTGAGTCTCACTCTGTTGCCCAGGCTGGCGTGCAGTGCGTGGCACACTCTTGGCTCGCTGCAACCGCCGCCTCCCAAGTTCAAGCAATTCTCCTACCTCAGTCTCCCAAGTAGCTGGGACTACAGGTGTGCACCACCACGTCTAGCTAATTTTTTGCATTTTTACTAAAGATGGGGTTTCAACATGTTGGTCATGCTGGTCTCAAACCCCTGACTTCAAATGATCTCCCCGCCTCAGCCTCCCAAAGTGTTGGGCATACAGGCATGAACCACCATGCCTGGTCGAATTAATGTGTTTTTAAATCAAAATTCTGACAATTTAATATGAAACAAACTAGGCGATCCTTCACAGTGTTTCTAAAAGCCCAGACCGAGTCCTCCTTTTAGAAGAACAAGTCTCACAAGCAACATGAGGTCAGAGATGACCAGGTCCATGCACATTTGTGTCTTTCCACAATGTCTGACTTTCATTAAAGTAATCTCAATCACAAAAGCCAGGAGCGTCATGGAGTTCCCAAGCAGGCAGTTTGCCTGAGTGCTTCCCATTCACTCGGTAGTCAGAGCTGCAGGCACACAGGCTCAAGCCACTCCACAAGTCAGTCAATACGGCAGACCACACATAATAGTATACTTAAAATGTAAATGTTATAAACATTCCACAACAAAGTCACATTTAACATCGAAAGAAGAAGGATAGGGAAAAAGGGTTAATGAATCAGTTCAGGGAGAGCGACTAAGGCAAAAAGAATCTCCTGGACTGGGCCAGGCAGTCCAAGAGCCTTCAGTGGCAGATGCCAGGTGATTATCACGATTAACAGCAAGATGGTGTTAGTTAAGATGGCCACTTAGAGCTGCACAAGTCCTGTTTCTTTTTATAGCCACAGTCCTCTGGTGAGGACTGATAGTGGAAAAGTGTGCTTGTTGATGTCCTCATCTGGTTGGATGCAGTCTTTATTTGTTAAGCAAACATCTTGTCCCTGTTGGCAAAGTGCCCTGTGAAATATAAGATGGAGTCTCTTTCTAAGATGGAGTTACTTATGTCAAGGGTGCTTGACACAACAAAAGAACAGATTTTTAAATATTAGGAGCCTAATATTTACATTTTTAGATAGTGGTGTGGCAGAGTGTAGGTGAAAAACACCTTTTCTTTTGAGATCGAGTCTTGCTCTGTCACCCAGGCTGGAGTGCGGTGGCGCAATCTCAGCTCACTGCAACCTCCGCCTCCTGGGTTCAAGCAATTTTCCTGCCTCAGCTTCCAAGTGGCTGGGATTACAGGCACCCGCCACCATGCCCAGCTAATTTTTTTTGTATTTTTATTACAGACGGGGTTTCACCATAGTGGCCAGGCTGCTCTCGAACTCCTGACCTCGTGATCCGCCTGCCTCAGCCTCCCAAAGTGCTGGGATTACAGGTAGAAGCCACCGCAGCCGGCCCAAAAAACATCTTTTAAGATGAGGATGCAAGAAATGAAAATGTTATGTCCACACAAAAATATGTACATAAATGTTCATACCAGCACTATTCATAATAGCCAAAAAGTAGAAACAGCCCAAATGTCCATCAAATGATAAATGGATAAATAAAACATAGTAAATTCATACAGTGGAATATTATTTGGCAATTTAAAAAATGAAGCACTCATAGATGCTACAATGTGTAAGAATCTTGAAAATATTATGCTAAGTGAAAGAAGCCAGTCACAAAAGACCACATACTGTATGATTCCATTTAAGTGAAACGTGCAGAGCAGGCAAATCTTAGATTCATGATGGCTGAGGGCTGGGGGCAAGGTTAAGAAAGAAATGTAGAGTGGCTGCTAATTGGGGTGATGAAAATGCTCTAAAATTGATTGTGGTGCTAGCTGCACAATTCTGTGAATATACAAAAAAATTTACTCGTACACTTTAAATGGGTGGTTTTTATGGTATGTGAATTATATCTCAATAAAGCTCTTATTTTTAAAAAAAGAAAAAAGGAAGAAGAAAGAAAAGAAAAAAGGAGGAAGATGAGGGCAAGAAGGACAAGAAGAAGAGAGAGGATGAGGAGGAAGCAGAATGAGGAGGAGGAGGAGAAAGGGAGGAGGAGAAGGAGCATGGGCATGGTGACGTGTGCCTGTAGTCCGAGTTACTCGGGAGGCTGAGGCCAGCCTGGGCAACATAATGATACGCCATCTCTAAAATAAATAAATAATGAAGAAGGCAGTGTGAATGACCAACTGTGTCAAACACTGCTGAGAGGCCATGTAAGACAAGGACTAAGAATGGACCACTAGATATTTTTTGTGTGGTAAAATATACACAAAACTTACCATTTAGCCATTTGTAGGTGTACAGTTCAGTAGCATTAAATACATTCACACTGTTGTGCAACCATCACCACCAACCATCTCCAGAAGTTCTCACCTTTCCAAATAAAAAGCGCAGCGGTGCAATCTCGGCTCACTGCAACCTCCGCCTCCCAGGTTCAAGCGATTCTCCCGCCTCAGCCTCACGAGTAGCTGGGATTACAGGTGAACGCCACCACACGCAGCTAATTTTTGTATTTTTAGTAGAAATGGGGTTTCACCACGTCGGCCAGGCTGATCTCAAACTCCTGACCTCAGGTGATCCACCAGCCTTGGCCTCCCAAAGTGCTGGGTTTACAGGCATGAGCCGCTGCACCCAACCCAATAAATCTATTTTTCTATGTCTACAAATATAACAGTCTCAAAGCGTACTCAAATACAGGGGGAATTCAGGCAGGAGGGTTTGACAGAGGAGTAAAGAAATTTGAGCTAAAAGACCAAGAATGAGTTTGTATCTGTCTGTTAGTGGTCTAATGGTTTCCTGAAGCCCATAAGTTAGGAACTCCTGAAAGTACAAACTGGTTTGGTCTTTTGTTTTGTTTTTAGTTGTTGTTTTTGTTGTTGTTTTGAGACAAGGTCTCACTCTGTTGCCCAGGCTGGAGTGCAGTGGTGCAATCATGGCTCACTGCAGGCTCAACCTCCTGGGCTCAAGAGATCCTCCCGCCTCAGCCTACCTAGTAGCTGGGACTACAGGCATGAGCTACCACACTCGGCTAATTTTTGTATTTTTTGTACAGACAGGGCTTTGCCATGTTGCCCAGGCTGGTCACAAACTCCTGAGTTC